AGTAGTAGTCCTTTTCACTACTTTATATGACTTATCTTCTATTCTGTCTAATTTTAACTATTAACCCTTTGGTTACCATCATTATAGACACAATTAAAGAACAATAGATTGCGGTCACCAGGGTCCTTGCAGTGTTTGACAGTTTAAAATCCATAATATCTATATTAATTAGAAAGCTGAAGAGATTATTTGTGTTTTTGATCACTGGAATTATTGGATCGAATTAATTTATTTGGATACTCCAACAATCGAAGAAGACCATAACGCATCATGCTAAAATTAATTGTGAAGCAGTAGTATAGCTAGTATAAAAGTAAACGTATAATATGTGTACAGGAAGCGGGCAAGTTGCTGGTAGAGTACTACACAGTGCTGCGCCAGCGTGACGGCGGCGGCGCGGGCGGCGGCGGCGCGTGGCGGATCACCGTGCGACAGCTCGAGTCCATGCTGCGGCTGGCCGAGGCCATGGCCAAGATGCACTGCAGCGGACACGTCACGCCTCAACACGTGCACGAGGCATACAGGTACACTACTGCGTCTTACATGTCTAGTGTGGGGTACCATGCTTCGACCGGAGTTACACAAAAAACCGCCATCAGTGCGGATGCCCAATTCTCCCTCAAGATAATTTATTCAAGAATACATCTAAAGAAATGGTCATTGATTCTAGCCAGCTGGGCAGCTGAATATCATTTTAGCTTGTTAATTTTAGCTTTTGGTTTGGCAATGTATCTAAGCTTGATGTTGAAAATCCATTGTACTTCTTAAATTAAGTATTAAAACAGTCACCAAAATCTAAGAAGACTGTGAGTCAGTGTATAGATTAGATATACATATCATACAATAAATTGTTCGTTTCCAGATTACTGAACAAATCAATCATCCGAGTAGAACAGCCAGACATCCACTTAGATGAAGAAGATCCTCAGTATGAGCCCAGCATGGATGTTGATCAGGAAATACCTAATGGTGGAACTGGTAAGGGCAAAATGAAATATTTAATTTTTACACATGATACATTAAGTTATATAAATCAGGTTATCAGGCGTGTCCATGACCCTGGTCAAATGTTGTCGAAAATGGTCATTTGAATATTATAGATAATTAGTTATACGGTTTCTGTAATTGTTGCGCGCATTTTTAAATTTATTGCGCTTATAGTGATTTAATTATTTCACAAAAACATTTCATACTGGGATAACGTTACCCCAGCCAGACCTGCACTTGCAAACAATGCGCCCCCTCTCCCCTTCCGCGTCTCACCGAACAACATGTTATATCAGTGATTGTTGATAAGTTTTTGCAACTGGGATATAATATAATGTTTCCATAGTACAGATATTATTATATTATTAATGTATTTAACAGTGTACGCGTCTGTACCGAAATTGTAAGGTGTATTATACTAAACATTTCAAAAGATGTTCTGCGTTTTCGCTATTTACCACCTGAATTTGGTCGGGTTACCACGGTCATTCACTTCCTAATGGCTTTAATCGTATTATCTAATTTATTTACCAATGTACTGAGTTGAAATGTTACTGATAAACAACTGAACTAAAAAACTAATAATCGACATAACATTCAGTTCATATATCCAATCCAGTGGCCATATTTATATATAATTACCCATATTCTGACAGTTTGCGTATTTATGCGGCCTACGCAAATGTTCTTTGGGTTGGTATTGTTCGTCGAATCAGGCAGCCTCATCTGTTAATTGAGCTGACTGTAAACCGACACATGCGTACTGCCTTCAGAACGGGTCCGCTCAAACTGTTTTGGTTCTTTCCTCATAAGGCCACTACAGAAAGAACTTGCACGGTTCTTACACATAATCTGTTATACATATTGCCTGGACTTTAAAAGAGACAGACCTCTGAGTTTGTTTCGGTATTTCTTCTCAGAGTAGTCAGTTAGGAAATGTCGACCTCATCGTTCGCTTGATAAAATTGACGTGTAAAATTGCTGCGTTGTAGCCTATTTGAAGAAATAAATTCACTTGTTTCACAAATATCTAGCAAAACGAAAAACGTTACCCCAGCAAAATCTCGAATAACTACGCAACCGATGAAAGAACAAATACAAAATAAAGCACAACATTTACTTCATCTAAACAAATAATTTTATAGCTAGTAATTATTTAAATATTCCTATTAGAGAAAAAGCTCTAGCTGGGGTAACGTTACCCCAGCAGGAAATGTTATTGTGAAATATTTAACAAACTTTAAGACGGGAGAAGTAATTCGATGATTTCCCCCCTTAAAAAAAATGGTCAGATAATACTGGTTTTGCATAGCTCGATATGTAGCCGATAACTCTCTTTTACGTGGGAATCACAACTGGCCGAACATTAGTACTACATTTTAAGCAACCTAATCCCACGGGAAATTTAATATGTAAATTATAAAAAACAGCTGCTCAATGAAAGTTGGTCCCAGTAAGGACTTCTTCACATTTATTATTTATTTGCAGAAGCCCCTCCAAACGGTGACTCGGCTCCGAAGAAGAAATTGACGCTTTCCTTTGAAGAGTACAAGTCTTTAAGTGACATGCTGGTTGTGTTCATGAGGAAAGAGGAAGTGGAAGCTGAAACTAGAGGTATTGTCGCTAATCATATATGTATGAGAAACTAGCTTCGGTCAGCGGTTTCGCCCGCGTTCCCAGGATAAAAATTACCCAGACTATAATCGATCTCTATAGGAAATATCATCCAAACCTATCCATATATTTTTCGTGAAAGAGTAACAAATAAATATTAATCCATACATCTTTCGAATTGATAATATTAGTAGGATAGGATGTACTTTACGTTGTTGAAGTTTTATTGTACAGTATTTGTTACAGCCCTGGCTATTATATTCATAAGAGTATTGTAATTTCACAGGAGAAGAAAGTGCTGGTATGCGCAAGAGTGCCGTCGTAAGCTGGTACTTGGAACAACTAGTAGGACAAGGACAAATTGAGAACGAAGATGAGCTGCTTGAGAGGAAGACCTTGGTTGAGAAAGTCATTGATAGGCTGATGTACCATGTAAGTCATTTTCTGAAACTTGTGTTGCGATTTTTGACCTTATGTTTTTAATATAAAGTTAAATCTATTAAAAAAAGAAATAACAGGCAATTTTTATCACAAAATGCAAGACTAAATAAAGTAGAATACTGACTGATCCGGACTGATCCATCCATACAATACATTTCGTTTCTGTTTCAGGATCAAGTTATTATCCCGCTCTCGACTACAGGCCTCAAAGCGACACAAAAGTCTTCAGATCAAGAAATAGAAGATGACCCGCTACTAGTAGTACATCCAAACTATGTTGTTGATACGTAGAAATTAGAGATTGCATTCCGAGATTAAGGTTGTCTTTTTTCAATAAACGTTTTTAATCATATTGTTTATTCCTCATTTATTTAACAATCCTAACTTCCGCCCGACCCAGTAACACACTTGTAACGCTTCTGGTGTTTCAGGTGTCCACGGGCGACGCCCATTGCCTTTCAGATGATCAGTCTGCTCGTTTACCGGTTAATTAAAAAAAACAATTGCTAATTCTCGTGCTGATACACAATCGTGGTAAAATTAGTTCTTTGTCTGGAAATCTCAGTTAGAGTTTGTTTTAATGAACGCGCTAAGCACCGGAACTTATGGTCCACTCTTTAATTTTTCTTTGTGTTGGTTGTGCATTAATTTATCGAGCAATTTTATAGGCTATAAAAGCAGTAGCTAGTTGATTATAAGAGATTTCGTAGATCGTAAGTTATGATGTCATATTTTTGGGACAAATAGCAGAATTATTTTAGAAAATAAGCTAGAAATTAGTACATCGTCAGAGTGATTATTTTTGAGCATTTTATTGTATTACACACTAAAATCATTGCGGAGGTCAAATAAAGGAAAATGATGAGATGATTGGGACATTCTGCCAACCCTCCTGGGTTTTAAAGGAGTATCTTATAAAACAACCTCGATAATAAATACCTAAATATTCGTGTGCTTTACCCAGGCCGGGATGTTGTCGAAAATGGTCATTTGAATCTTATAGATAACTAGTTGTGCCCGCGACTTCGTTCGCGTGGTTGTCGAAAACAAAACAACATCGTTTAGATAACAGTGGGCTATACACATATGAACTCCACTCAAGAAGGAGGTATAGTATTTTTTTGCTAATAAAGATCTTGACTATAGTATATTTTTATTTGGTAATATTGGTATCTAGTTGATTACGTTAATGCTTCCCTATATAATAGACTAGCAGCCCGTCCCGGCTTCGCACGGGGTAGACAATTATTGATTTTTGGAAATTTGGATTGTTGTAGTGACACAACTACAATAGTTGGACATATGCTACCGCGGAGTTTTTTGTAGACATTAGGATGTTCTTCAATATTGTTCAACATTATTTTGTTCTATCGACGAAAGACATTTTAAGACTCATTTTTCTACACCTTCGATTACATTGTTCAAATTTTACCAAGGATCCCTATTTTTTTTTTCAAAATGAAATGTAGCCTATGTCAAATTGGAAGAATGTAGCATTCTATTGATGAAAGAAAATTTTAAATCGGCCCAGTACTTTTTGAGCCTATTCATTACAAACATACAAAAATAGGTACAAATCTTTCCTCTTTATAATATTAGTATAGATTAGATTTGCGGCTTCTGTAATTGTTGCGCATAGTTTTTTAATTATTTCACTAAAACATTTCCTGTTGGGGTAACGTTACCCCAGCCAGACCTTTTTCTTTCTAATGGAAATGTTTAAATAATTACTAGCTATAAAATTAGTTGTCTAGATGAATAAAATGTTGTGCCTGAATTTGTATTTGTTCATTCACCGGTTGCAAGTTATTCGAGATTTTGATGGGGTAACGTTTTTGGTTTTGCTAGATCTTTGAAATGGTTAAGCGGATTCTTATCATATTTTGTACATGGCTTCTTAGAAATTGTAAAATGTACAATTCAGTTTAAAATGTTTAGAGCCAGTTTTTGTGTGCACTGCCTTGAAGTGATGGAGATTTCTTCAGTTTTTATAATAAAAGAGCCAAATGTTTTTAAAAGAAACTTCTTTATTGATTTTTAACAAATATAAACCTAGATAACCTATCTTAAAACAATATGAAACAGAAATCTAATCACTAGCAAGAAGCTTTTTCACCGTATCGCTAGCATTCAGTGTCTCGTCGACAGTTATATCGATTTTCTTATTCTTCTCTTCATCCAAGTCTATAACTTCAGTGATGTTTACATTCTTATATTTTTTTATACATTTTACGTTAATTGTTACTTCGGGCGCGTGCGGCAAGGTCGGTGGTCGAGTGAAAACTGAATTTATTCTTTTAACTGCCAAAGTATTTTCAGGAGGTGGTTCATTTGATAAGATCATAGGCCATGTAAATAACAGGTAGAAACGCTCAAGAACTAGGTCTAACAGCTCTTTCGTGATTGGATTCCTTCTAACCAGAACATGTAGGTTCATAGTATCATTATAACCACCTGGTGTTAGCAAAGCTTGCATTATATTTTTACATCCTGTTAAAGTTGCAAGACTTGGAGGGAATAAGTAATTTCGTTGGGCGATCATATTCAGAGCAGGATTTCCCCAAACATTCGGGCTATCATTCACTTTAATTGTTTTTCCTACATCCATCTTGGAGTAAGATTTAACTTTCACAAGGGATACATCCAATTCAGAATCGCCTATATTAGGATATTCATTCTCATATGAACTTTGTAGGTATATATCTTCAACTAGACATGCATTCAAAAATATCAAATTTTTACGCAAATTCGTAAAATTTAATTGCTCTTGTGAAATAATCAGGTCTGGTGCTAGTACCATCATATCATCTGTCACACGTTTTTTCATCTCTGCTTCTCTTTCTTTTATTAATTTATTAACAAGAAGTACTACAATGCCATCATCTAATTCTATATGAGGAGAATCCTTTCCAATTTTCTTTTTCTTTGATCTAACTTCTACTGCTGAACTTAAAGTATTTTTTAAATTCTCAATGGCATCATTAAGGTTATTGCTTCGATATCCATGATTCAACCGCCGAGCACCGCGCCGAGGCGCATGATCTAAACTAACACCTGGATGTTTTTTCATCCATTTCACTAAAGTTATGTATCTGGTTCTTAGTTTGACTCGGTTTCTTCCTGGAAAGTATTGTGTGGCTGTTGCAAAGTTGATGTTTGAGTCTTGGTTCCCAATTATCTGAACCAGTTTTTTATCATCTTCCACGGTCCATACTGTAGACACTCTTAATTTACTGAGTACTTGATATCTAGAACGGATTTGTACCATAGACCTACCAGGCAGAAAATCTGTCATTCTCCTAAAATTAGTACCAAATCTTTCAACACAGTTAAGTATAACAGCATCTTCTTCTGGAAGGAATCTCCCTTTTCTTTGCTCAATCATTCTTAGATATTTGTTATAAATTTGGATTTTTGTCCGATTTTCCATAGCCGCAGCTATTTTACCCCACGGAATGTAATTGTCTTCTTTGAAATAATCTATCAATCTTTTAAGATATGTTATTTCCTCATTAGTCCATTTTTTGCCAGTAAAAGAATTGGTCATATTTGTGCGATAATATACAAAACATTGATACCCTGAACGGCCAGTATTCAATTTAAGTGCTATATCATCCCAGTCTTGTTGATTATTTTGGCAAGCAATTCTTTGTAATGTTGCATGTTCAGCTTTGCTCCAACTGTTTTTATTTATGGATGGATGAAAAAATAATTTCCACAGTGACTGGTATTCTTGGGCAGTGTGCCTTCTATTCAACTTGTTAGCTAACATGTCCCAGTCATACTCCTGGTCTATTGGAAGAGCAACCTGACTCAAAGGCATCTTTGCAAGCTGATCAATCTTTTTTCTAAGCACCATTATGTCTCGTTCTAGTTTCTTATTATTACTATTCCCACATTTACGTTTCAAGTTTGTTATTTGTGCAAAGAACTCATTTCTTCTACTCTCTACAGATATTTTGTGCATCATAGTAATAAATTGAGACTTATCACGCATTGTCCACCCGGGTACTGATATAACTAGAGAAAAATCATACATCTGAGACTTTGCCATTTTTGCATCATCATTGTCCGGAGCCGGGAAGTTTAGTTTGTCCTTGAAGTATGGCCTGCCACAGCTTATGTATCGGAATAATTCATTTTTATCATTATATGTGTATGTGTGAGCACTGTTTTGAATAACCTCAAGTTTGTCTCTGCATTCTTTCAAACGTACCGTAAGGTCTCTCTCTAGTTTGCGTATTTTTTCGTCAAGTATTTTATTTGCTGACAGAGCTAAGTCAATTTGAGCTAGAGTACCTGACTTTGAATTGTTTGTCTGTAAGAGAGTTTTGTATGACGACGAATGATGTATTGAAGGTAGATGAGGTGGATACATCGATATTCCTCCGCCAGGGATGTCATCTTCATCGTCTAACAACTCATTAAGTCGTTTTAAGTTTTGTTCTTCAAGCTGTGCTTCATCATCGCTGTCGAACTCGGAGTCTGTATCAAAATCTGTGTCATTGTTGGCCATTGTAGTGGATACAGCACGATCACTATTTTCCAAACAATTTACTCATATAAAGTTGTATTTTGCACTTAAAACGTTCTTCTATGGTTAATTTATAATTATTTCATAAATTAAATATTCACAAAGTAAGACACAATCACAACACACGAAAAACGTAATTGCTATAACAATTAAATTGAATTCGTCTCCGCTATTTTGTTAAAATATTGTGTGGTATTATTTGACAGTAAATAACAATCAAAGTAACTATTTACTATGACCGTGACGTTTATAGATTGCAGGCCAAAGTTGGTCATAGATCCTTTCCTAATATTTTCATAGAAATTCTGATTGTCGTTGACATAAATAATTATCAAGTTGTCACTGTCATGGAAGCAAGTAGTTGTCATTGTCTATTCTTAAAGAATGTAAAATGTAAACAAAGCCGGCTGTTTTCAATTTAAAAACAAATTATTATATGAAGTTGTAGTATCAGAGAAAAATGGGAGAACCCGGCATAATACGAAAGTTAAATGAAGAAGTAGTAAATCGTATAGCTGCAGGTGAAATTGTTCAAAGGCCTTCAAATGCGTTGAAAGAGTTAATAGAAAACAGGTATGTACTAAATAACAATCATTGGTTTATCTCCAACGCGTTTGACCAGCATGGAGAAATAGCAAAACCCTTCTTTGGAGGTTCATAGTCTGATGATAACATGTATTGTAAGTAGAGGACTTTTGCGGTACCCAAAAGGGCCTATAGCTGGAACATTAAAAAATTGTAAACCACCCTGTACACACTTTTAATGCATTAAAGTAATTTGATTTGATCTTGATTTTAGAAATTATTATTGTAGTTAGTGTTATTCAGTATATTGTAAGTTTACTACTTTTGATTACAGTTTAGACGCTAAAGCAACGAACATTGTAATTACTGTGAAGGCCGGCGGACTAAAGTATTTACAGGTAATTGAAAACTTATAAATTGTTCCCATATGTGGTATAGTCAAACAGAGAACTGTCTGCAGATTGTTATTGCAACCTGCTAATGATGATGATAATTTCTTTTTATATGTTTATTTCTTTTAAAAAATGTTGCCCCTCACTAGGATTGTCTCCAGTACCGTGGGTGCATTTACAAACCCAGACCCGGAACAACAATCTTTGGATCACACAAAGAGATGTTCCGTGCAGGATTCGAATAGACCAGAGTGATACCACACCATCACAGAAAACTAACATGAAGCAACGCTTCCATTGTGTTTGAGGGTACCGTTTTGTGAGGATACCGGAGGCCCAAATCCCCCTTCCCCGATCTCCCAATCCCCAACAATCCTCAAACTCGTAATCCCCAAAAGGTCGGTAACGCACTTGTAACGCCTCTGGTGTCCATGCGACGCCGATTGCTTACCATCAGGTGATCCGTCAGCTTGTTTACCGGTCTATCCCATAAAAAAAACTGGTTGACTATTAGCCATTTATGTGGTTCAATGCTATCAAAATACTTTTTTCTAATTTGAAAATATTTTCTTATCTTTTTACAAGCTTTGAAATATTTGTTAGGTAAATGTTTAGAATCAGAAGATGTTATAATAATTTTATTCCATAACTATTGACTCTCTTTTTTTTAATTCCAGATTCAGGATAATGGCACAGGTATAAGAAGTGAGGACTTGGAGATAGTCTGTGAAAGGTTCACAACGTCTAAACTGAGGGAATATGAGGATCTAAAGGAGATTGCCACATATGGGTTCCGGGGTGAAGCCCTATCTAGTATCAGTCACATAGCTCATCTTACTATACTCACTAAGACAGCTGCCTCTAAATGTGCTTATAAGTAGGTTTTATTTATTAATTAAAATAAATATACACTGAAATATAACTAGCTTCTACCAGTGGCTTTGCCTGTGCTCCCGTGTGGTAAACAGTACTCTGTGTGTTATAATAGACCCATAAGGGACCCTTGTTCCAAAGTTTATCCTAATACCTATTGCCGCTTTGACATTATATAGCAGCAAACAAATACGGCATTTATAGCATCTGCCCGCGGCTTTGCCCGCGTTCCATTGTGGTTAATAGTACTCTGTGTGTTATAACCATAATCTACCCTTGTTCCAAATTCCATCTTTCTTTCCAATACCTTCTGCTGACTCATTGGCCAAGTGGTCGCAAGTGCAGCTGCCGGGCAAGAGGTCTAGGGTTTGATTTCCGGGTCGGGCAAAGTATTACTGGATTTTTCTCAGTGGTAGCACGGAGTCTGGAATAGTATGGCAATAGGCTCACCCCCTATTACATGGGACTCGTAACATAAATTGTGAAAAGTGGGTGTTACATTGTACAGTGGCATTAAGTGCCGTAATGTGCACCTCTGTCTACCCCTTCGGGGATAAAAGGCGTGATGTTATGTTGTTACCTTCTGCTGTCTTGACATAACTGAGTTCCAACACACAACAAACGTTAGTTGTAATCCTTAATTCCAATTCTAGAGCTTCATATGAAAATGGAAAACTAAAGGCTCCAATGAAGCCGTGTGCTGGCAACAATGGTACTCAAATAACTGTCGAAGATCTGTTTTACAACGTAATAGCTCGTAAGAAGTCGCTCCGGAGCCCTACGGAGGAGTACACGCATATAATGGAGGTGGTTGGAGGGTATGCGATACATAACAGCCACGTAGGGTTCACTTTGAAGAAGTTTGGAGAGAACACAGATCTGAAGACTCCGATTAATTCTTCTGTTATTGAAAATGTTCGGATTGTGAGTACTGTTTTTATTGTATAGCTACTCCCGCGTATTACCAGCTGACCAGCTGCTCAATTACCATTGATTGTAGCGCAACGTTTTATTGAAATGAAATGAAATATATTTATTCGGCATAAGACATGCACGCCAGGAACAAAAAAAAAATATACATTATAACAAATAACAATAAAAAGGATTAAAAACCTAAAAAAAGGTTCTGGCTAAAAGGGCTCTTGACGAGTACAGGTTCGTTTACCATATTTACTGAAATGAATTTTTCTCTTAACCTCCTTCGGGTGTCGCGGAGAACCAAACGGGTTACCGGGGCTCCGGCTCGACGTGCAGGAGAAAGAACGGGGTGGTTTTTAGTCAGTAAGAGTCCAACACTCCCTTCCGCCTCACCCAGGCGGGAGCAGTCATTCGATGATTTTCCCCTTAAAAATATATAAAATTCCCCCCCTTAAAAAACGCGTAACTTGAAACTAGTCGAGTTCCTCATCAAACAGTTACGTGAGTAAGTTGAAAAACATAATAATTAATTTAGTATGTCCCACGAAAGTTATAATATAAATAAAATTGTACATTAAAATTGTTTTGCTTATTTTCAGATACACGGTAACGCGATTGCTCGCGAACTAATGGATATAGAGCTACACGATCCCTCCCTAAAGCTTACATTACGAGGCTGTATAACAAACGTCAACTACTCGCATAAAAAAGGAACTATGCTATTGTTCATCAACCATAGACTAGTGGATTCGCTATGTAAGAACTTTTTTACTACTAAGAGTACGATGATATTACAGCCTTCACATAATTAGCAGATAATAAGTGGTCACAACTGTGACCATGATCATTACATAACATAACATAACATCACGCCTTTTATCCCCGAAGGGGTAGGCAGAGGTGCACACAGAAGTAACATCCACTTTTCACTATTTATTTTATGTAATAGGGGGTTAGGTAATATTAGTCAAATGTAATAGGGGGGTGAGCCTATTGCCATTTACCGGGCACATTTCCAGACTCCGTGCTACTACTGAGATTTTTTTTAAAACCCAGTAATACTTTGCCCAACCCGGGAATTGAACCCGAGACCCCTTGCCCGGCAGTCGCACTCGCGACCACTCGGCCATCGAGGCAGTCACAGTTTCATTAAATGGTGGAAAAAAATCGTATACTTATAGGGCAGAAGACACGGTATGAAAATGAAATATCTAATTAGTCCGTCAGTTAAATAATTAAAAATATTACACACCAATCATTTTCATTTACTAAATTTAGAAAAGAAAAAATACTTGCGTAGTTTTTTTAAATACTAAAATATTAAACGGACATTACAAAAATTTGTGATTTGTACTGTATGTTATTATAGGCATATATTGTACTTTATAGGTATGTTTTACAATATTTTTTACTAAATAAATACATTCACATAATCAGAATCACACATTTTTTCAGCAATAAGAAAAGCCGTGGATTCAATATATTCGACTTATTTACCTAAAAATGCGCACGCATTCGTCTACCTCAGTCTGGAATTAGGTGAGTTTGACTTTTTTCACTTATTATGTGAAACATACTATTTACTATCAAATTCCTACCCCAAAAGATCTTCAACGCAATTCTAAGTACTTTATTGTTGCGGCTTTCCATGCTTGCTTACCATCAGGTGATACGCCTGCTCGTTTGCCGGCCTATAATAATATTAGTAATTCTCCAACAGATCCAAGAAATGTTGACGTAAACGTCCATCCGACTAAACATGAAGTACAGTTTCTGTATGAAGAGCAAATTATTGAGAAGATCAAGTCTTGTATAGAGAGCAAGCTGCTGAGTTGTAATTCTACCAGGGTTATGTACACACAGGTACCTAGCTATCAATACATAGTATAAAACAAAGTCGCTTTCGCTGTATGTCCGTATGTATGCTTAGATCTTTAAAACTACGCAACGGATTTTGATGCGGTTTTTTTTAATAGATAGAGTGATTCTTAAGGAAGGTTTGTATGTATAATACATGCATATTGCACCCGTGCGAAGCCGGGGCGGGTCACTAGTATTAAAATATAAAAGAAAGTCGCGCTAGTAACACTGTTTATAACTCAAGAATAGCTAGATCGCTTCAGCTGAAAATTAGTGAGGACGTAGCTTAGAACTAGGAGACGGACATAGGATACTTTTTATCCAATCATTATCAACAGCCTATAAATGCGCCCACTGCTGAGCAAAGCCTCTTCTCACACGGAGAAGGTTTGAACATTTATCACCACGCTTGCTCAATGCGGGTTGGCGATTACAAACTTATAATTAGAAATTATAAGTCCAGGTTTCCTCACGATGTTTTCCTTCACCGTTTGTCAGTGACATCTAGATAATCTTAGTAAGTACATATAACTGGGAAAAAGTCACATTGATGCTTGCCATTGTTAGGTTTCGAACCCGCACCCTCATGCATGAGAAGTCTTGAACGTCTTGAACCTCCGGGCCACCACGACA